TCCAACTAGTACTATCAAAATGGGTTGTAACCCGCGAGCAAACCCGCGGGTTTGAATCGGGTTAGGTTTGAAAAAAATGTAAATTTTTTATGCAGGCTAGTTTTCAATCCGGCTCATGGGTTGAACCTATGGTGAACTGGGTTGACTCATAAACCCACATAATTTAATTTAATTATTTATTATTTTGTGTTTCAATATTATTAGTTAACATTTTTTTATTATATTGTAGATAGTGATAAAAAAGAAGATGTTTCAAGAGACAAAAATATTATAGATTTATCTATTCAAGACTCTAATATTATAAATGGACAAGTGATATAAAAATTATCAATATTTAAAACTTATTTGTTTGCCTTTTGTACATTTTTTTGGATTACGCTTAGATTGTATGATACTTTTTTTTTTATTTTGAATTGTTTTTTGAATTTAACATCATTTTAGTGTGACGTTTATTTAGATTTGAATTAAAAAAAATTATAATTTTTTTATTTAAAAACAACTTATAATTAAATGAGCTACTGAGTCAACCCGTTTAACCCACTAACCCGTGGTGGGTCGGACCAGGTTTGAATTTTTTCAGCTTGCTAATAAGTGAGTCGGGTTAGGTTGACTCACTAAGTGACCAACCCGTGGTGAGCCGGGTCGGGTCGAGCCAGGTTATCCGTTTTGATAGCTCTAATTCCAACAATGATGAATAAAAGTGCAATGAAAATTCATAGGGAGTTTATCTATTCACTATTTCTTGAAGCTCAATCTCTCTCCCTTAGATGGAACCATATAGCCAAGAGAAACCATGAACCAAAATAGAAGAGCTTTGCTCCACCTATGAGTAAATATTTCATAGTAGCATTATTAAACTGTACATCTTTCTTGATATATCCATATAGTAGATAGGAACATAAAATTAAACATTCTAGAGTACAAAGATAATTATTAAATTGTTAGTGTTGGAACAATCGGCACCGTTATAGAGTCGCGCAGCGGAATAAAATATTCGGAAAGCGTGTTACGGTCACAAATCAAGTTTAATGGTCCATTTTAGAAAAACAATTTTCTTAGAGAAAATTTATCAAACAGTTGATATGCGTAAAAGATAAAGAGTGTAGGGAATAGAAAATCACACAAGCAATTTTTATCCTGGTTCGATTCAAAAGAATCTACGTCCAGTCGTTAATCACTATAAATAGTGATTAACCTTTTTCACTAAAAAGTTATTTAACAGATTACAAGAAATAGTGAATAAAGCAGATAAATAAACCTTCCTTCGACGAACGAACCGGAAGAAGAACACTCTGCCAACTCGAAGAGAACCGCTCCGACTATCGACAAACGAAACACGAGCTTCTCCTATTCACGAGACCAGGCAGAGCACCTTGCTAACTCGAAGAGAGCTTGCTCCGACTATCGACACACGACACGCGAGCCTCTCCTGTTCACGAGACCAAGCAAGGGAACTTGAACTATAGCTTCTGAGAACTTCCTCTGACAAACAGTATTCTGCAAGAGCTTCTGTTCAACAACGTTA